CCCCCGTGACCCCCCCCCCCCGCTCCTTCCCTGGGGGGGACCCCGCGCTGCTGCGAGCGGGGGCAGGGGCGCTGCAGCGCTCGAAGTGACGTCAGGGGGCCCCTTTCAACTGTCTCAGCAACGTGAGTCCAGAGTCATTTCGGGCTGGAGTCCCGCCAGTCCCGGCAGCTCTTGGGGATGGGGCCGCTATAGGTTGCCCCCGTGCGCATCTGTTCCGCCCTAGAGTCGTTCATGACTGTAGGCACTGAGGTGTTCTAACTTCTCCCATTCCCTGCTATTAAGTTGCCCCAAAACAACAACCACCCCAATTTCCACAAATGGAAGCTGGTTGCAGGGGGAAAAAAACCCGCTTTAAGTTGTGTAGCTCTAGGTGCATAACAGTGTTTCCACTTTTCTCTGAAGCATGAATGCGGTTGGCACTGCACCCAAAAGGAAGATACCAAACTGGAAAGGTTCATGGGGTCTAGTTTATTATGGCAATCACCACCCTGCTGTTACCCTAAAACAATCATAGACAGTGTGAAGTGAGAGGATGTGCAGACAGCTCTCCTCCCGCCCCTCCAGAAATGCCTCTGCTGTGTAGTTTTCCAGTAGTTGGGTGGTACAAGTCATCCTCACTATGGGTACGTCTAGACTACCGCGTTTTGTCGACAGAAGTTTTGTCGACAGTATCTGTCGACAAAACTTCTGTCGACAAAACACGGTAGTCTAGACGTACCCATAGTGAGGATGACTTGTACCACCCAACTACTGGAAAACTACACAGCAGAGGCATTTCTGGAGGGGCGGGAGGAGAGCTGTCTGCACATCCTCTCACTTCACACTGTCTATGATTGTTTTAGGGTAACAGCAGGGTGGTGATTGCCATAATAAACTAGACCCCATGAACCTTTCCAGTTTGGTATCTTCCTTTTGGGAGCAGTGCCAACCGCATTCATGCTTCAGAGAAAAGTGGAAACACTGTTATGCACCTCCTGGGTTAGTTGGTTACTCTGTGGGAGGTAAAAATCCATCCTGAACACAGCTGGGGGTGACTAGATCTGTAGATACTTAGAAGCTTTATAAAGCCTAATAAGAGCATTCAAGCTCTAAGGGACCTTGATGATATTTTAGAAGTCTGCTCAATGACTAGATTTCCTCCATTCTGCAGATCAAGTAAAATAACCCAGGGGCTACATAAATGTAATGGCAAGTGTCAAGTAATTTTCATCTCTCATAAGTACTGGGGCAGGTATATTTTGTGTAAAATGTAATGGCAAGTGTCAAGTAATTTTTATCTCTCAAGTACTGGGGCAGATATATTTTGTGTCGTTTTTGCAGTTACAGAGAGAAACAAAAAGGCTTCCAAAGAAAGTTTCAAATCATTGTATTTGTAATGTCAAATACATTGATAAATCCAGTGTAATCTGTGGCCTTTCTTGAAATGTAATTGTAAAGTTGTGATCGCATCTCAGAACGTGGCATAGTTTTGGATGATTAGTTTAAAAGATTAGCGTATTTTCCACAAAAAAATAGTTTGGTACTTCTGTGTAATTTGTTTGCATTGTGTATGCCTTGTTAGAAGCTTATTTAATTGCAAATGAGCAAAATAGACTCATAAAGTGAAAGTAAACGCATCTAGTCTGATAGTGTAAACAGAATGGTGAATCAAACATACTGTTTGTACAGTGTGGAAATAGTATGTATAGCATGGTGGCAAAGTCTTTTGTGGCTACACAGTTTATACTGTGTCTCATCCTGTCTGCTGAGAGTTCTGTAAGGTCTCTCTGTGTAGAGTCCCAATCCCTTTTTTCATATGCTTCTGCTTGAACTTTGAGTTTAAACTGCCAGTGTTTCTTCAGGTCTAGAGCTCTCCAATAACATGAAAATCAGAAAGTAATCCTACAAAAAGTAGAAACTGAAAAATTGCTAAGGAAGAGGGAAAAACACTTGTATACAGAGAAAATGAGAGGCAGAGGCACAAAATGAGGCCTAGCAAGGGATGTAAAAGACAATACAACGGAGGCACAAAATGAGGCCTAGCAAGGGATGTAAAAGACAAACGGGGTTTTTAAAATACTTTCTTTCTCTTGGTCCTAATGTAAGTGTAGGCCCTCTTAATGGAGAAGGAAAGTGAATATCATGATATCAAACAGGCTGATCTGTTCAGTTCCTATTTTACTTTGGTCTTCAGTAAAAAGCTTAATGATGACCAGGTACAAATCACAATTAATATTAAAACAAGGGAGAAGCCTACATAGGAAAATAACATGTTAAAGAATATTTAGATCAGTAAGATGTATTTAGATGGTTGTAGGCAGGATTTCTGTTCTATATAAATTGTATGCCCACTTCACCAGGTTTTTTTACAGTGAAAAACATCAGACTAAATGCATTTATAGTAAACTTCCGATAATCCGGCACCTTTAGGACCCAGGGGGTGCCGGATTATCAAATATGCCGGACTATCAGAAGGGGGGGCTATGAGGGGTCTGGGGTGGGGTGGGGTGGGGAGGATGCTACCCCAGACCCGCTCATAGCCCTCCCTTCTGATAGTCCGGCTCTGCCCCAGGAGTCCCCGATTCAGCCACTGCTGAAACTGACCAGCGGCTGACTACAGGAAGCCCGAGGCAAAGCTGCTTTGCCCCAGGCTTCCTGGAATCAGCCGCTGGTCAGTAGCAGCAGCTGACTTGGGGGCAGCTGG